TCTAATTTGCTCCCATATTCCTTCCCCATCGAATCCATCCACATACAACTCTGGAAGCTCTCCAAACTGGTTCATTTCCAGTTTCTTAGCTACTCATAACAATTCCAATCCTATTTCTACCTAAATCAAACAACACTTTCATGACGGCCTTAATTGTCTTTTGGACCTCCTCGTCCCCTTTTACAAATCCCTGACCATTGAACCCAATTATCAGAACTTACTTCTGGGTGGTTTACAACCTTCTCCTCAAATTCATCAATAATCTGCTTGTCAATATCCATTCCTTCGTTATTCAAACCGATTGGCTACAAAACCGTAGATAAAAACAGGCTAGATTGAGAAAAAAGCAGTATATCCGATTTTTGGAATTCAGAAAAAAGACATTCTCTTACCACCCTTTTTTGAATTTTGAGCGGCGATGCAGCAGAGATATCAGGAAGAAGAAAAAATGGAAGAGGTATCCACTGTAACATTATCAGGTGACTTTGCAGGAAGGAGGACCAATGCCCATTTCGGCATTAGAATCTCAGGGAATTAATGCCGCTACAGTGAAAAAGTTGCAAGAAGCCGGATATCATACAGTCGAATCTGTATTTTTGCCGGATCACCATTTTTACTAGGTTGCTTTTGAGACCATGAAGAAGCTCGTGGAGGTAAAAGGAATCAGTGAAGTGAACGCCCAAAAATTGCAGGCAGCTGCAAGCAAGCTGATTCCTATGGGTTTTACAACTGTAAGTTTGATGGCTTGGTCTTGATTGAAGGCTACCGAATACAGTAAACTGCGTGAAGATATTGTACACATTTCTACAGGATGTAAGGAGCTAGATCGAATTCTTGGAGGTATCACTGGATGAAAGTGGTAAGCGATAGGCGGTATGGAAACGGGCTCCATCACAGAGCTCTACGGAGAGTTTCGTACGGGCAAAACGCAGATGTGTCATACATTATGCGTGATCTGTCAACTCCCAATCTCCCAAGGAGGAGGCGAGGGAAAGGCCCTCTACATCGATACAGAGAATACCTTCCGGCCCGAACGTCTGATCCAGATCAGCAAACGGTTCGGTCTCAATCCCGATGATGTGTTGGACAACGTGACCTATGCGCGAGCGTACAATAGCGAGCACCAGCAGCAGCTCTTGATCCAGGCGGCTGCTCTCATGGCTGAATCGCGATATGCACTGGTGATCGTGGATTCAGCCACGGCTCTGTTTCGCACTGATTACACCGGGCGTGGCGAACTCTCAACAAGGCAGCAAAGCTTGGCGCAGTTTCTGCGTGGTCTCCAGAAATTGGCCGATGAATTCGGTGTGGCCGTGGTGATTACAAATCAAGTTGTGGCTAATCCGGACAGTGGAGTGTTTGCGAAAGACCCGCTGAAACCGATAGGAGGGAATATTATTGCTCATGCCAGTCAAACTCGACTTCGATTTAAGAAGGGGAGAGGAACGACGCGGATTTGTAAGGTCGTGGACTCTCCTTGCTTGGGAGAAGAGGAGGCATCGTTTGGAATCAGTGATGAAGGGATTGTGGAAGCAACGGAGTAGAGGTAATCGTGAATTAGTAGAATTTGTTTGATCATTGATACATGTTAATGGAAGCATTTGGGTGTATGTTGTTTGTGAGGAACGATGGATCGTTGCAATTAAACTAAAAGAGTCGATTAACAACTCCAATCTGTCGAGAAATGATAGCACAGTTGGCTATGGATCCATAATAGTGGGTGTGGAGAATGCTATTGATGGTAACAAAGTGAATTACACTTACAATATGGTCATCATATTTTTAAGAAAAATATAGGCGTCTCTTGCGTTAATCTAAAGTTTCTAGAACACCAATTTTGTGTGAGTCAACACAAAGATGAAATTGGAAGGTTTAACAAAATAATGGTGGATCTTGTTTCACCCGTATTGTAGTAAGCATCCTGCACTATTTCAAGACATAAGAAAGTGAATACGAAGCAAGAGAGGTATTAGCAGACTATGAGGCAGACACAAAAAGTGTCTTTGTTTAACACATCACTTTCATTCCAAAGAAAACAAATATATATAATTTATGAAAGAAAAGTCGAGCAACATTAAATACTTTTCTCTGAGGTATGCAGTTCCGAGGATCTCAAAAAGAATATATAAACATATCCCAACAACATCTACCTCAAAAACATAGTGACTTCAAAGAAAAACCATTATGATATTGACAAATTCCGTCGTGAAAAAACGTACAGACTTCATTTAGATGGGTATTATTATTTATAAATGGAATTTGGAGAATGAGCAGCAACAATTCTACAGAAGATGTAACCATTCAAATGGCTCCCATTAGGGTAGAAGTCGAATTCTGTGAACCAAGTACTGATGAAATTGCTATTTGGAACAGCAACATTTCCGAAATATTCCCAATCGCTAATATATCACAAAAGGAGGAAAAAGTACTGGTAACCATTGATAACCCATTTTCTGGATATACGATTGAAACAGGGATGAGTGGTGATGTTTTTGACGGTAAAGCCGTTGTTCGCAACACAAGTAACGACATCATTGCTAAATTCAAGTATATTAATGGTAAGCCAACAGGAAAATGTAAGGTATATTATTCGAATGGAAGTCTGTACTTCAAAGGAACTCTTTGTGATGGTTACCGAGAGGGAATTGGAGTTGAGTATGATCGGAAAGGAAATGTCTTGTTTCATGGGAATTACCATAAGGGTAAGAGAGGATTCCCGATGACAGCGCGAGATGATTTCATGATCGAATACAATAAAGCTGGAAATCCTACAGAAGCATACAAACGAAACAAGAAGGGGCAAAAGCATGGAATCTGCTACAAATTTGTGAACGGCAAGATTGATCGAGGAGAAAAATGGGAACATGGAATAATGATGCGAGTTGTGAAGGACTTTTGCGGTAAAAGAATGACAGAATTTGATCCTAAAGGAAAAGTGATATATGTTGGAGGTTACATAGATTCCTTGAGTGAAGACTATCCAAGGAATGGAAAGGGGATTGGCAGGTTTTTCTTTGGAAAATATGAATTTGAAGCTCGTTGGGAGAATGGAAAAAGTGTCAAAGAATTTTGGATCCGTTCTATACCCTATTTAGTTCTTAGTGTAGTGGCAATACTCGCGTTTTGGTTACTGGCAGTTCTCGTTTTTTAATTGGAAGAGGTCTGTTTTTTGGTATCAGATCGTCGTCAGAATGCTAGTGTTATTTGTGTAATGTGTAAGCGATCATTTGTTTTTTGTATGTACGTGATTTGTAGTGTTGTTTCTTTTATTCAGAAAGTGGTTTAACCAAACTAGTTTGCCATACAATACTATTATACGAAATACTTTACAAAACTTTTAGCAGATGATTATAAGGGGCATTCATAATGTTTTGATTCACTTTCGATTATCTGTCAAATTGCAGATAGTGTGTGTTATTATGTAATTCCCATAATTTATTATTTCATTCATTCAAACTACGTATACACGATTCATGATGAACTCATTTATTCACACAATTGATCCAATTCATAGTAAATCACATACATCATGAATATGAATATATAGTACTCTCAACCTATTTTCGCGATTCTATTCATACACAATACTGCATAATATTCAATGGATTACTCAAGGCTAACTGTATATTGTCCCACTACATAATCAATAATAAATAGGAAGTGAAATAGAAATGTTCCTGTTGTGCTAATGGATATTTCTAATACTGATAACACAAATAAGCGAAATGGCAATTGATCAAATACTACACATAAAGCGATAACAATACTACATGTACAAAACAATGATCTATCACATATAATCACTACACAATTATTGAATATACATTTTGTGTATTAATTGAAATTGAGACATTTACAAAAATATAATAATTCTGAATCACAATATTTGAATACTCTTTTTATTTTCTTGTGTTAATATGATATGTACTACAATTAATAATGTGGCAGCCGAAGTTTATAAATTGAATTGACTATTTGCTCTAATATTACTCGGTTAAAGGTATTAACAAACAGATTATGCGCCTTAAATCATTTACTCCACAAAGTGTAAATATATATATATATATATAAATGTTTTTCATTCTTTCTTAAACAAGATGGGCGAGAATGGGAGAAACATCTAAGAATGAAATATAATTAATCAATAATTACTCGAAATTGATTTCCTTTTTACCATAGTGAAAGAATTAGGTAGATTGACATATGCAAGATTAGGAATATCTAAATATTACAACATTCAATTTGGAAAATACTTTCCAATGTCACTTCATAAAGATGCTTAAAACTACTTCCGTCAGAATGGATAAAAAATAGATTTGGAAGATCTACATCCAATCATTTTAACTCGTTTCATTATTACTTTGCATTGTCAAGGAACACTTTTTTGTCCATATTCCATATAGTGCATGTTCACCGAGTTGAATGGATTGTAATGATGGGAGATCTACATCAATCATTTCATTCAAATTCATTCAATACTTTTAATAACTGTATGACAGGAATCGCCAAACGTCCATCTATCTAATTCAATAATTTGTAGATTTGGAAGATCTATACATCATTCACTTATTCAATATCATATCAATACCTCGAATCTTAAACGAACTATAATGGAACGCTTCATTACCAATATGAATGAATTGCAATTGTGGTAGGTTCTTCAATTCAAATTCTCCTCCAAAATCATCGAAACTCAATCCACCAATATGAATCGATTCCAATGATTCACAATTCAATATGTGGAAGGACTTCCAATCATCAATATCATAATATGGCGTTTTCTCAGTAAATGAATTGCTTCCGACATTCAAAGTTTTTAATCGGTTCAATCCGTCGATTCTGAATGTAGACACTAATTTAAAACAATCATTTTTAATCTCGATTGATTCTATGAGAGTAAATCGAGAAAAATTAAAAGTATGATAATTTACATCATTACACATTGAATTGGGAATGAGAATATGAGTAGCAGATGAATTAAAAGATTCAATATACAATTGGCAGTTAATTAATGTATAGAGTAAACTAGAAACATCTATACTCAATCATAATATCATTCATTACTTTTAACGACTTTATTGTAAACATTCCGGAATGAATAAAGTAGGTTGACATATTGAAGATTTGGAATATCTAAATACAATCAATATTCAAGATTCAGAAATACTTTCCAATGTCACTACACGAGGTAATCGAAAACTCCCACTACCATCAATGGATTGTAGATTTGGAAGATCTAAATTTAATCATTTCAAATCATTTCATTATTACTTCGCATTATCAGTGAACAAGAATCATCATAACTTCCAAAAAGTGCATAATAACCGAGTTGAATGGATTGTAATGATGGAAGATCTACATCAATCATTTCACTCAACCTCATTCAATACTCTCGATTATTGTTGATACAGATTCATGGAATGCATGATCACCCAGTTCAATAGAATGCAGATTTGGAAGATCTATGCATTACCCAAATATTCAATATCATAGCAATACCTCGAATCACAAACGAACTATGATAGAAACTGTCTGTACCAATTTGAATGGATTGTAGTTTTGGTAGATTCTTTAATTCAAAGTCGCCAGCATAATCACTGAAACTGAATTTCCCAATTTGAATGGATTCCAATGATTCACAATTCAATATGTGGAATAATTACGATTCATCAATTCCCCAACTACCCTTTTTCTGAGTAAATGAATTGCTTCCGATTATTATAGTTTTCAATCGATTCAGTCCATTGATTTTGAATGTTTTCACATTTGCAAAGCAATCATCGCCAATTTCGATTCTCTTTAGATAAGGATAGTTAGATAATTCAAAATTCTTTAAATACTTCCCATATCCTGATTCTACTATATATGATTCTTGCTTGGATCTGATTCCTTGTGGTCCATTATCCAGATAGATTGCTGTAAAATAGAAAAAGAAAAGAATGATTATAATTACAGTCACAATCAAAGCAATATATCTATTCTTTAGTAATGTTTTACTTAATCCTTCTGTCTTCAATTTATTTATGAAACTATTCTCATTATTATTACCGTTCAATTCTTTTGTATTTTCTTCCTTTCCAAATTCTTCGCTTTCTTCTTTTCGTGGATAACCCATTTCCAAACTATCAACAAATCCTCCTTCATACACTTTCTTATCATTCCTATATTCTATCATATCATTATCATGGAATTGTTTCAATAATTTCACTTCTTTACCTTCTTTCCATACACTCACACGACTAATCTTTCCATCCTCATAAGAATAACAAAACCCTTCACTATTTCCCAACTCATCTTTCTGACTAATTCGAATGATTCTTCCTTTTTCATCCAACTCTTTCCAATATCCCTTTCCCATTTCATTCGATGGTACTATATTCAGTTTCTTACCTTTCTTATAATATCCATCAAACACCATGTTGCCATTTTCATCATATTCTTGTCCTCTTCCTTCTCGATATCCGTTTACAAAGTAACCTTTGTAAAATAGAATACCATTTTTACAGAGTGTGCAAGGTCCTGAAGCGATTCCATCCACAAATGTCAGAGTGGCCATCAGAGTATTATCCTGAGAATAAATACTGGATTCTCCGTCCATTTTCCCGTTTTTCATTGTTGTTTTGATAAGACAACCTTCATGAGGTTTGCCAACTTCAATATGAGTGGGACCATTTGTTTCTCTTCTTGACTTTATAGGGAACTGCTCCGAAACGTTGTATTCCCACCACTTGTCTTTTTCGTCAGTTTTATCACTAGCATTGTTTATTGTTTGTAATTCGATGTTAGTAGCGTGAATAGCACCCTTTGACAGATTGCTCATTTACAATTAATTAGATAATAGTGTGTAAAAGCCAAGGTAAAACCGAATCTACTAGATCCTTGATAATCAAATGATGACTGTCCGTTTTGTGCGTTTCATTTATATCCATTCATATTTGCCTTATCATTTGAACAATCAAAAGTTTGCATTTAAAAGTAATATGATACAGAAATAACTCCCCACTCATTTATTTCCATTTTAAGAACTATTTCAGTTCTTTTGGCTATAACCTCCAGAAGTATTTTTTCATAAAGAAATACTAATCTAATTAACGTATCTCCTTCAATATACTTATATTGTGACTATTGTAAGGGTTTGCTTGATTATGTTGTAAAACATCATTTCGCATATTACCCATAAGTATGCCAATCATGTCTTGAGCAAATGTCTATGTTTTTATCACTGTCGACAAACGATCGGAATACTGGTTGATTTAGCCTAACTATACCTATATTATATTAATAATAGTAGACAGTAATGATGTGCGTGGTTCGCAGAGGTGAAACACTTTTCCAATGACATATTGACAGTGTGAATGATGTAGCACACAAATAAGGGAAATCTATTTTAGACAGGATTGTTAATTGTGGCAATGTCAACAAACGCTATTCTTGGCGATTTCGGCTGTTGCTTAATATTTATCTCACCCCTAACAAAAACAACAGGCAATGGCATACTGATACCGTAAAACATAGTACCTATGAATATAGCGACTTTTTCATTGTTTATCTCTCTAATTATTACAATAATTACAATATTTTATAGTTTTTCTTGGACAAGATAGACAAATGAGAAGAAAGAGTCAATGGTGCCAATTATCTCAAAATCAATACGATTCCACATTCATTTTAAAATAATACTGAGTATATACGATTGTACCATTTCGTTCCTACAAAAACTATCACTGCTTTATCTTTCTTTAAATACTATTATCTGCACACATCCAAATATGTTTTTTCTTATATTTCTTTCCTGATAGCTATAAACCGAGCATTAAGTTATCAACTAATCAATGTTAGTATTATGGTTTTAAGTGGCAGTTTTACTCAAACCGCAATCATTTTCTTTTTAGTTTTTTAGATGCAAAACATTGCTAATTTTGTCAATTCTCGTAATAATAACTATCATATTGATAGTTCCATTATTAAAAATGTGCAAACTTGCCTTAATGAAGAAATGAAACCAAATGGTTGGATTTCATTCATCTTGAATAACGGAGAATGTGTAGTGTTGAAATTCAATAATGGAGAATTCATGAATCAAGGATTTGTGGTCAATGAGCAGAAAGTGTTGAAAGTGTTTGGAAATCATCAAATTGGTGCTATTTCATATAATAAAGAGCAACCCATTGTAGTAAAAGGAATAGTGGATTTGGATCATGGAAGTCGATTTGAAGGATTGGTATTGACAGAACACAAGTTGGGAATTCCATTTGGATATGGTGAAATGTATGATGATGATGGATTACTGATGTACAAGGGTGTAGTGATTAATTGGAAACGATTTGGCTATGGAACGAGTTATCATAATAATGGATGTATTGAATATGAAGGATATTGGTGTGATGAT